CGAGCTTTCGCGCCCGCTCGCTGCGTTTATTTGCGTCAGGTCCTCGCTCTTTAAGGCCCCGCTGCCTGTTCCCAGGCATCACCTTAAGCGGTTCCTGGGTGAAGATAATAAAAAGCGCGGTCCGCCTTGCGGGGTCCGATCGACCCGGTAAACTCGGTGACAACAACGACGCGCGCGTCTCGTGACGCAGAAAATGCGCTTCTTCGCCTCTTCGTCCTTCTCTTCCCTCCTCCTTGCGATCGAACGGACCCCGAAGGGCCTCTGGCTTTCTAAATCTTATCGGTCGGTTGTAAAACTTTATGTTCGCGCCAGGACGAGAGGTGACTACGAACGACGACAATAGCTTCAGAAATAACGCCGCGAATTTTCTCAGGCGAAGGAAGTAGAAATAGAAGGTAAAACAATGAAATAAAGTAGCGTAAGCATTAATTTTTTCTTTCTTTCTAATGCAGTTGGAAGCAAACCTGTTTTCTTTAAACTTCTATGAGGACGAATATGTCTATATTTAATTACAGAAAAAATGATAAGACAGAACATATATTATTAATAGATATTCTATTTTTTTTTTTAGGATTTGTATAAGGATTAACACAAGACGTCATTTGGATACAATTAAGTTCACGAAAGAAAATTAATTAATACACAAATAGCTTTTTTTTTATTTTTAAAATTTGCTAAGAGAAAATCAACAAACGCTAATGATGAACAGGTTTGTCGCATTAATTGAAAACGTTCAAGATGGCTGTGATGACGGACCGAGCAAAAACGGCCGTGTTTCGGTGACGGGAGTTGCGCCAACCGCAGGGTGGTGGCCTGTGACTCGACGGCGGTAAGGGTAGTCGTAAGCGGTTCTGTCCGCGCTTTGCGGACGTACCGATGGATCATCCGTCGTCACCCCATATCGCGGGCGGTCCTCGAGCGTAATTTATCCCGTTATGCTAATCGGGACGATTTGTCTAAATTAAAAGGCGCTCGGCCGTTGATCCGCGGTCAGGCCCTTCCCCATTTTCGACCCTCCCCGTCGTTCTTTCACCACCGGCTTTCGTCACTCTCTCACCACCGTCATCGTGCACGCGTTCCATCATTATTTCTGTCGTCGTTGTCACCGTAGTCGTCCGTAGTGGCGAGAAAGGACCACTGGACACTTGCCCGGCTTCTCGCTCACCCCCGAGGGACCACGGTTGTGTTATCGCGGCCAAATCCCGCGGATGATGAGACTTTAGTTTATTGTACGTGCGGCTCGCCCCCAGGAAAACAAAGACGTGCCCATCCTCTCTCCCTCCTGCCCTCACTGACAGAGAGCGGTTTTCTGATGCCCACGGATTTGCTTCTCTCTTCGTCGACGAGGTCCGAATCGAAGCCGCAAATCCTACTCCGCGCACGAGACTCGCCTGCGAAATGAGATTCCTTTGAGAAAGGAAAAGAAGAAAAGAAAGAAATGGCTCCCGGTCGAACCTGCCGCCTGAGAACGCCGCAACGGTTCCAGATCTCGCGGGACTTGCTGCTTTGGAATCGACGGAATCTCGTCAGTCTGTTCTCAATTTCGATATTTTACAGTTTTCTAAAGAAAATCATATAGAAATTCTATGGATATTTTAAAAACGTATTTCTTAAAAATAATGTGGTTTTGAGAATAACTATTCTGAAAAGGGGAGACATAATAATACGTGTTACACCTTTCTCTTATCTAATTTTATCTTTTACTTAATGTAGTATTTTTTTTATTATTTTCGAATTGTAATAATAAATTTTATTAACGCCATATTGTTATTTTTTAGTCGAGATAAGTTTCGACGTAATTTATTATATAAGACTGGGTTGTTCCATTTTTCGATAAACTTCAGTTCACTCTCTTACTTTCATACTCTCTTTACTCTTATTCTTTTACTTTTTTGTTCATCTGTTTGTCTAGATAAATTATCACATAGTTTATCCGAAAGTGGGGAACAACCGGTCCTTAAAATATTAAATAAATGAAGATAAAAGTAGAAATGTTCAATAAAACATCATAGAGAGTAGTACAATACAATCCGTACGAACATCATTCAACATTACATCGTATGTTATGCCCTTTCTTCTCACAATTCTTTTTCTTAGAACGTTTTATCGTACATCCTAATCATCTCTCCCAGATAGGAAGTCACGATAGACGGCGTTGATGATACCCGATGATGATGAAGGCGATGATGTCGCCAGTCGCCAATGGTGATAATAGGTCGAGCGTTAGAGGCCGCAAATACGGTAGTGCTAATATCCAATCATGTCGCTTCCTCCGGCAGCGAACGTTCGATCGGCTAATTTTCCATAATTAAACTGCCATAAAGTCGCCACAGCTGGAACTCGCTCGCGAAATTTGCGTCACGGTAAGGAAGAGAAGGATTTGCTAAGTGTTTACACTTGATGGAAGCCACATTCATTGCTATTGGCAAAAAACGATCGCGAGAATCGATTTAATCGAGTTTCCTTAACTTCAAAACATGCTAAGATATTGCTTACAATAAAGAGAGTGATCTTTTTTTTCCACTTTCTTTTATTTTGAGAAACGTTTATGAAAATCTTTTAGTAGCAAGGATTGTAAAGAAATATTCTTGAAATAAAATATGTTCTAAGCTATCAAGACCTTTTGAAGTACCTAAAAATTTTCTATTTAATATTTTATAAAACCGTATTCTTTGACGGAGATTTTATATAAGAACTATTATCAAATTAAAATTACAAAGTTTATTTTCAAGAATAAATCAAAGGAAAACGTATCTCCAATGCTACAAAAATTTATAATATACAAACGGTTATTAAATTATTATTATTATTTTATTATCATTATTAAATTTTATTATTAAAAATAATAATAATTAAATAATAATAATATAATAATTATAATAATTAATAATATTAATTATTTAATTTTATTATTATTATTATTATTTTATTGTATATAAGAACGTAGTTTATGTTACATCTGACTTATTGGACAAACTTCCTCGTAATTTTTATATCTTTATTGCATCATTTTTATCAGAATTTATTAATTTTTGTACATATATAAGGAATCATCCGACCACTCTCATAACTGTTGAATCGCTTGTAGATGATCGGTATAGCCACGGAGGCAGTGCTAAACGCGGTCGCGGGCAACGCACAGGCAGACTAAAGCTATACTACGCTGGCATGCTAAGCTATATAAATCTGAGCATCTTATGGCGGCATAAGTCTAAGGATTAACCAGCGTCCTCCACCGGGTACCAGCATCTCGCCAGCGCTACCACAGGATTGATCCCCCACCGACTTTCTTCACACCCGTGGAATTCTTCTCCTCGTCTTATTTCCGCCTCGGAAGATATTTCTCCCTCGGAATCGGCGCGCCGACGAATGTTAATTTTTCCGAGAGGCTATTGTTATTCGCCAGGGCGCTCTGATTAAATCCATTATCCGCCGCCTGATCATCCGATTTTCATGAAAGCCTCTTTCTCACGTCCGTCATAGGTTTTTACGAAACGGAATAATAAATTGATTTTTTATATCGATGGTACATTTCTATAAAATAATTAAAAAGGATGATTATTTACCATCAATTTTGCAATATTTAAACAAATATTATGAATAATAAATAAAGAAATTTGTAATTTAAGAAACTTCTAGTTTATGTAAAAAAACACATGCTAACGTGATATTTTACACTCTTTTAAACTGTTAGAACATTTTTTTTATTATAACGGTCGTACATATTTCAGAGAAACGGTAGAGTACCATAAAAGATTTAAATCGCGAATATATTGTCGGAGCGGAGTCGAAAATGCGTGAGTATTTCCAGAGGATCTTTAAAAGCCATTTACAGGGCGAATCGTTGACTAACTTTCGTCTATTTCTATCTTCGAAGGAAACGGCTGCTTGGTATTCGCCTCGATCTTGAGTGGATCGCGGGTAGCTGATGGGGTAGCGATGAATTTGAGAGAAAGAGAGAACATCGGGGGGATACAGGTTTCCTGGGGGCGGTTGATGAGGTATTGATGATAGGATCGCGTCAACACCAGCTGAGCCAATTACACGCCTAAATCTCCACGCTCGCTCGCTCTCTCTCTCTCTCTCTCTCTCTCTCTCTCTCTCTCTCTCCCCTTCTCTCTCTCTCCCCCCCCCTTATCTTTCCTTTTGTCCTCTCTCCTCTTCTCTTTCCACTGCAGAATTACGTATTATTGTATTTATCGCTTTCGCGTATTTTAATATTAATCGATAAAACTAACTTGCAACATATCAATAATAGAAAATAGAGAAAATATTTACGTTGCAAGAATATTATATATAAATACGTATGTGTGACATGCTTGTAAAATCTATGAAGTGTGAAGCTGAAGAGTATTAAAAAATCAAAAGAAAAAAATCCTGTTTGCGATCGAAACGGATATCTGAAAAATATATTTGCAAGCATATATATATGAATATTATTAAACACCAAGATCCGCTTCGAAAACAGAACTCTTTCTCTTATTTGATTTATCGGTCTAATTTTCGCTGATAATTAAATATTTGAAAATATTTCGAAAATTTTTTTACTTCGTCTCATCTGTCTTTTTTAATTCTAGAAAGAAGTATTCATATAATTGGTTAAGGTTAAAATTTCTCGCAAAGTCCATTGACTTCTTTTTTCAAAAAATACGTGTGTTTTAAGGAGTATATTTTAAGTTTGTAGTATCTCATTCTAGATATCAATTATCACGCTTAGCGCTCGTTGACTCATAAAACGAAGTAGTACGTTAAGTATTCTCGCACTTTCGAGGACTTCTCTACAGTCATAAAATTAAATATCTCGTAACACTAATTGTAAGTTTTAGACTGCGGCATTGTCGCGCGCGACAATATCGTTAGTTAAGTCGTCGTTCTGAAAGATGAAAGAAGATTTTATGGTAAAACCAGCGGTAAAAAATCGGTCTCTTCGTCAAATCTTATCTCACACAGCCGCATGTGATTCGTCCGTCACTAATACCGTTGTTTTTTTTTTGTTTCAGGTAAGTGCAATCGTGACGCTATCAGCCACTCAAAGTAGTAGAATGTCAACGCGTCTTCTCATCGACGGCTTTATCTTTACCGCCGTTTGCGTATATATTCGTAAGTAGGTGGACGTGCGTCTTAGACGAAGAGCGATAAGAAGCGAGGCCGCGCCCTCGCGCGCCGGCAATAATCGTATATGAAAGTGGGCTTGCGAGGAGAGGCTCTTTTATGCCGTCCGTAAGTTCTCACCGCGTCCTAAGCGGAATGCCTCGATGCTTGACCACTCGCGTCGTTCAATTTTACTCGTTGATCCGGGAGAGGAGAGGGAGACTCCCCAAGGGAGATTTCTTTTGATTACTTTTCTTTCTTTTTTTTCGCACACACATTTATCAAATGTCTGTCAAAGCAACTGAACTTCATTCTCAAGGCGACTCCAGACAATATCACCAACTTTACGCAGATTCACTAAATATTGGTCTACATTAGAGATCCTCCAATAAGAGTCTACACATGAGCTGCACTTTTGTATGTGGGGTAGTAGTTTTAACAAAAATCTGCGAGAAAAAAGGATATACATTCACTATTGCTTTCTCTTTCTGATTCTGTTCTATTCTTTTCATATCTATTTCTGTTTTTTCTTTTCTTTCAGGAATTGTTAACATGGCAGACCAATCAAATAAGTGGCTCTCTCTCTCTCTCTCTCTTTCTCTCTCTCTCTCTCTCTCTCTCTCTCTCTCTCATGTTCAGGCTCTTATTAGAGGAGTCTATCTCTAGCCTCATATGGATAATTATGCATGTCATATGTGTGTGTAATATATTTGCTAATGTTGACGTATATTGGTCATGTCGTCTGGAGCCTCCACGAAAAGAACGATTGTGTTGAAATATCTGAAAACTTAGTTAAATACAGATTTAAAAATAATTTTGATGGAGCATCAAAATATTTGTGTATAGAAAACTCAAACGTAGTGAGTAATGTTGCAAAAAAATTTTAGTCTAGTACCAACTTGAGTACTACATAAACTGTTCTTTCCGCGCAACCAGTTTTTGTTTGATGAATGTTCCCCTTTATAAAAAAAAAAAAAGGAAATCTATTTTCATTTTTGAATTTTTTTATTGTACGTTTAAAACCATAAAACTTGTATAGAAAATATTTTTTTGTTTGCGATAGTTTCCAATATAACATCGAGCGTGCAACATGTAATATCAACTTGTAAACTGGGATATCGTCACGAAGGACATAAAAGATAGATGAAAATATTGTTTCTTTTACATGTCTATCAGATGCCTTTAAAATTACGCATTTATCATACATAAAAAATTTATCAGTGTGTGTTGATCGAAATTAGGTAGCTTCTGTATCGCGTACCCGAATGCTACGTGTAACGTGTGAAGCATCGGGATGCGAACATACGTTATTCCTGAAGGGCGGACACGCGTAGAGGGGTAGCTATTTGTCGCGACGCCTCGTCGCCTCTGAATAACAAACTGGTAGGAAATAACAAACGCGTTGCTACATTGAAATAGCCTCGACGGGTCGTATCTCACGTCTGAGGTAGAAGGGAAGAAGGTTTTCGAGAGAGAGAGAGCGCGGGGGTTGAAAGGAAAGAGAGAACAGGAAGACGGCTCGAACGGAAGAGAGAAGCGGCGTTTCTTCTCTCGCGAAATCGCCTCCCAAATCTCGCGTGAAAATTACCCCATTGTCGGGTGCGGCCCGACTGTTCCCTCCTCTTCCCATTCCTCCCATCGCGGCGACCTCGTATTTCATCCCTCGGTTACATAATCGGCTTTTTGTTTCACGTTTTATCCCCGAAGCGGATCCCAACCCCCGCGCGGCTACCTTTCCGCCGACTGGTCGGCGAATACGAGGGGATGGTGAAAAAGTGTCCCGAGGATATCGTAAACCTTCGTGTCCCTCCCCAAGCCTATTCTCCTACCCGAGTCGCGCTCGATTTGCTCTTGAGCACCTCTTCGTGGTTCTCGCACTGTCCCCGAAGACGACCCGGTCTAAATCGACCAGCAACGAGCTCATTGCTGCTGAAGAACAGCCTATCCCCTTTTATCTCTCGAGGTTAACCTTTAACTCACTCGATGTGGTCTTTATCCTTAACTCGTTCAAGTACCATGGGCTTTAGTGATTTTATGAGTATGATGAAACATTATGTATAGTTAATTATATGTACATAGTAATTCTTCGAATTATCAGAGTTGTAATTTTTATCAAATGTTTCATCATAATTGCTTAATAATGCTAATGTAATTAAAAATCCGTTGATGAGAATCAGAGAAAATGGACACCGTAAAATAAGAGTAGCAAAAGGGGGATTATTTAAATGCAAGATTTATATTTTTTAATTTTAACGAAATTACAGAAAAGAAAGCAGCTTTTATATAATCTGCTGTGGATTACGGTGAAATTTTTATATTTTGTAATAATAAACAGAAAAAATTTATCCCAAGAATTTTCCAATACGTTTTATCAGCAATCTTGCATCTGGTGATTTTACGTACATTCTCGAAAATCGCAAATCTCCTCGTTCGCGGTAACATCTTTCCTCGTAACGAGCGCCGTCACCTTAATCAGCCTCCTATCGGATATCGTGTTCCAATTAACCCGTTTTAACGACCCGCGCTCTCCCTTTTCTCTCCTCCCCTCGTCGCATCCATTCCCCTCTTTTTTTCATAACCAGTCCGCTGCACTCGTACCGAAATGTCGAAAAAAAGGCGAAGCACCGTTCGGTCATTCGGTACATAACGTTGAGTGGTAGTCAGGTATTATCAGGGGTTATCGACGTATAATCCGTGAAAGGGTGCGGACGGGTAGCGGGGGAGATTGGAGAATGGGGGGATGGATGGACAGAGAGGCCGATGTGGACCATATGCCGCCCAGTATGCTCAACACTCTCTCACCGGGACAGTCCAGTCCTCGACTCGAGGCCTCTCGTCTCTTGTTCGCCATTCCCCCTTTTGCCTCATCTCCCACAGCTACCCTTCCTACCTCGCCACATCCCTCGTCCTCTGACCTTCTATCATCATAATCGATATATTATACCGCGGTCTGTATTTTATTCACGTGTCACACCGTGGAATGCGTTTGTTCGGGATATTGTATGCCTCTCTCCTCCCCCGGTCTCTTTTTTTTTTCCACCCTCTTCGTTTTTTCCGCCGGTTATTTGATCGGCGAAATCGCTTTTTTCCTTTTTTCTATGTGGTACATTTTTCAAGATATGATTATGATACCGAGGTTGTTGAAGATCATCGCATGTGGTTGAATTAGACAATGTTTGCGTAGGGATAATAACGAAGTTCTTTATCGACTCGCAATTTTGACACATAGGGTGTCACTCTCGTAAAGTACATCAATTTTCGGGCAAACTAAATCCAAGTAATTTTGATAAAAAAAATAATTTTAATATATTTTTAATCATAGGCGTAATATATATAATATTCAATATGAAAGATAAAAAAACAAACGTATAAACATATGATACGCAATAAAAGATAATTTAATAAAATATATGTATTTAGGTTCGACAAATATATATATATATATATATA